GAGAAGGAGATTGTTGCAAGTCGCTGACGACGAAGGGTTGATTTCCCTTCGCCATCTCTCTCCCACGCAGAATGCAGCAGCTGTGTCCACGTGGATTGGCCACGTGGTTAATTGGCTGTCGCTCGGCCACGTGATGCTTTCTTCCCCGGACGTTGTTGTTTAGACACGTGGCGCTTTCTGCTTTCTCCAGTGCCTTTGTTTCGTCTTTCTGATTCCGTGAGCCTGCGAATCTTAGTGGCGATTGATGGCGCTGATGACGTGATGATTTGATTGACATCAGTGCCTTCCATTTTGCGTTTGAAGACGATGGCGCTGATGATCACAGCGGCGATGGTGATGACGACGGCGCTGATGATCACAGGTAGGTACGATGTAGATGATCGGAGTGGTCGTTAGACGACGATGGTGATGATGGTGATGATGGTGATGATGATGATATCGGTGAGGGCGATGGTGATGATGATGAGGTCGATGATGATGATGATGATGATGATGAAAAAAAAGATTTGGGGATCAGCCCTGTGGATGTCGAAGATATGGTGCTGATTGACGAGTGATGAGGTCGATGATGATGATGATGATGATGGTGATAGAAGTGATTTGGGGATGACCGCTATGGATGTCGAAGATATGGTGATGATTGATGAGTGATAATGATGGTGATGAATGATTGTGATGAAATGAGTGAGTGAGGTAACGATGAGCGATCATCATCATCGGTAACGTCATCCCCGTCCTTCACCCTCGTTGACGATGACCATGACGATTGTGATGGTGATGCTAACGATTTGGGGATGATGGATGGTGATGATGATTGTGACGAGTAATTATGGTCCTGCGGGAAGTTATGCAGGACGATGATGGTGATGGCGATGTGGAGTATGATGACGATGATGAGGAAGATCATGCTGGGGAAGATTGCGAGCTGTTTGGGATTGGGGGGGGAAGGGTAGGCACGAGGAGGGTAATCGAGTTTGGTGTTCTCGATGGATCGGGTTAAGTGAGGGCCTAATGAAAAACGAAAACGATGTAAAAGAGGGAGCCTAATGATTGACCAACGGGCCTAGCTCAGTTGGTCCACCCAGTGAACTATTGATTGACCAACGGGCCTAGCTCAGTTAGCCGCCGCAGACCCAAAAGCTCGTAACCAGTTCCGATCAGATGTGAACAGAATATAATAACTCTGTGGAGATTGTGTATCCTTCACGAAGAAGTGAACAGATGAATTCACTGATGATATCTCAAGGCCGTCGCCCTTCACAAGAAAAACGAGACGTGGAGATTGTGTATCCGTTCCGAAGAAATTGTGTGTCAGCGCTGATTGATGATCGCTGCTTTGTTTTTATGTGTCGCTGATTGGACTTTCTTCTTGGGATGGCTTGCCGTCGCCATTCTCCTCGAAATATAGCGCACGGAGATCCACTTGTTGCTCACGGACGGACCACTGAAGCTCACAGTTTCACAGAAATCCGCTTGTTGCTGACGGACGGACCACTGAGGTTTTCTGAGGACAACACAAGCTCAGTGCTTTCTGGCGCACGATCGCGTGATCTGAGGTTTTCTGAGGACTCGCTCTCTGCTTCCCTCTAATCTTAGGGCATGAGCTTACAACTTTCTCGACTGATCTCTGGACGTAATTGCGTTCAGTAAAGTTGAGGTCCGATTGTTGTTTAGATTCTCTCCCTGCTGTGTTTTTGGGGCTTTTTCTTCTCGTTCTGTAGTATTTCTCTATGTGGGACAGTTTTTCGATTTCGCGTTCTCATACGGTTTCTGTGGTCTCACTCTTCCGCCTGTCCTTCTCTATTTCTCTTTCTCACTCTCTCTCCCTCGATCTCTTTCCGTCCTTTCCTCTCCCCAGCCCTTGCCCGATTCCATTTCACCTTATGCCGCTTAGTCCCAATGCGGCGCTGCCCGCTTTCTCTCCGCCTCTTCTATTCTCTCTCTCTTCGTCTCTCTTTCTGTCTCTCCCCTTCTATTTCCGTGTCTCTCTCCGTCTCTCTCCGTCTCTCTGCGCCTCTCCTGGCCTCTCTCCGTCTCTTTCCCCCTCCTCTCTCCCTCTCTTTCCTCCTCTCTCCTTCTCTCTCTCTCTTTCCCCTCTTTCCGTCTCCCTCTCTCTCTCCGTCCCTTTGTGCCTCTCCTTGCCTCTCTCCGTCTCTTTCCTCCTCTCTCTCCTTCTCTCTCCTTCTCTCTCCCTCTCTTTCCCCTCTTTCCGTCTCCCTCTCTCTCTCAGTTCCTCCCTTCCTCTCTCTTCCTCTCTCTTCCTCTCTCTTTCTCTCTCTTTCTCTCTCTTCCTCTCTCTTCCTCTCTCTTCCTCTCTCGTCTCTCTCTCTCTACCCCCCTTTTTAGTCTCTCTCGCTTCACTCCACTCACTCTTGCTGTCATTGGATTTTCGTTAAGAAACATACAGAAACGTATCAGAATCTGGTCAGAATTTGATTACAATTGAATCAGAAGGAAGCCAGTTCTCCTTGCATATCGAGAATCCACGCACATGCTCGTATGTTGACAGTGGTAAATTTTACCTATGCATGCAATGGTTCGCAGTATATCGAATTAAATTACAGGGTGTTGCTGCGAACAGGTTTCGCCCTCGTTTCACTAGTATTGGCTTTCGCCTTTTGGGACCTGTTTGCAGTGAACAAACCCTGTGGTATATTATTGGGTGCATGAGAGTTTGCGAGGACGTTCATGTCCGTACAGGGTGCCTTCGTTTCCGTACTTTTTTCACAAGTACTACCGTCTTCACCCCAATAGAACGCGTGGTCATTATAGCTGTATTTGGTGCAACATTCATTCTAGATACAGTGATAATGACCGGGCATTATATTCCCGTGAAGACGGTAGTCTATTGTGAATTATAAACCCACGCACTTGAGACCTGCATGGATATGAATGCCCTCGCAAAGCTCACATGCGCGCATGTGAACAAACCTCGTCGGTTACCGGAATGGTGGGCCTTGCTCCACCCACCACTCTCCTGATGTGAAAACGACAAGAATGCCATACAGGGTGCCTTCGTTTCCGTACTTTTTCACTAGTACTACCGTCTTCACCCAAATAGAACGCCCAGCTCCACCCACTACTCTCCCAAATAGAATGTTGCGAGGGACTTAAGATACTCTCGCCGTTTTATACATTGGGTGAGTAGTGCAGCCAGGCACTCCTATTTGAGCCCATGACACCGAAAAGCATGTGTGCATGCAAACCACGTTGGCTGGCGTACGTGCATCTCTGGTGGAGCAGATGGGGAAGTCGAATTGACACCGAAGTAAGAGATACAAAAATGAGTTTTGCTGATATTCGCACCAAAGAAAATAATCCGAAAATGAATTCGACCTGTGGTTTCTGGATATTGATGATCGAAGTTCACACCAAAGAAAGTAATGCGAAAATGAATTCGACCTGGGGTTTCTGGATATCGATGTCCAGATGTTTTGCCAGGACATACATAAACATGAGGGCACAAATCACAGAAAAAGCATCCATCCTGTCACGTTCTCTCTTCTTGATTTGTGAGAACTTTAATGTTTGATGTTGGACGATTTTACATCACACACGCACACACACACACACACACACACACACACACACACACACACACACACAAACACACACACACACACACACACACACACACACACTCTTTTCTCAGGGGTATGGCTAACTCTGGGCGACATGGTGAGTCCTTATGCATCAGTGAAATGCATCCAGGAGACAGTCTGTCTGTTGGGGTTCAGCTTTCTAATGAGTTGGTGAGAGACAGACGAAACAGTCTGGCACAGTCATGCTTTCCTCTGTAGAGTTGTGTATAGAGAATAAGACAATACACATACACACACACAGAGTCATGCTCTTTTTGTGGAGCCGTGTATGACGAAGACGATAACAAGCACACACACTGCTTGTCAGGGGTTTGGATCAACAGTCTGCTAGGATTGCAGGGTTGGTGTGCGTAAATTCGATCACTTTTCCCCTCAGAGGGGTAGCGCTAACTGTGGCCGACGTGGTGAGCACTTCTCATCACTCAGATACATCTGGGCAGACTGAGGTTCAACCTCCTGATGAGTTGGTGAAAGTCCGAGGAATCAGTCTGGAAACGTCGTGCTTTTTCTGTGCAGTTGTGAACATGACGACGCACAGACATGTATTCCCAAACATGGCGGTGGCGGAGTTGCGTATTGCGATCATGACAACACACACACACACATGTCAAATGTCAGTAAGGCAAATAGAGGAGCGGGTTTGGATAACAAACAATGGTAGTAGGAAAGTTGCTGGCATGTGAAGAAATGAGCAGGCGACTTTGGGTGCTCAGCAGGCTATAATTAGACGATGCACAAATGGTCTATGCATTCTTTCCTGGTTCTTTATGAAATAGCTCGACAGCCTCGAGATATCATCTATATAATTGAGGAGGCGCCAGACAAATTCAAAGTTATCTGATCCGATTCGAATTCGAACTCAGGTCCGTGCGTCAGCAGTTCATGGGTGCACCAGCGGAGCTAGGCCAGTTAATCTCCTCCCTTGTTTTTTTTTTTTTTTAAATGGCGAGGGCCTTCAGATATGATCTGTGAACTGACTGGCCCCAGGTTAATTCTGAGTTATTCTCACTCATCTGGTTGCGTCTGCACGCGATCTTGGGTCTGTATTTCAACAGTTCATAGGTGTACCAACTGATCTAGGCCAGGCGGTATCTCGTATCTACCCTTTTTTTTTTTTGACTGCCGCGACTTTTTTTTTTTAGTGAGGCGGTTTGCAGGGCAAGGAATTTTGGAATCTGAGTGTGGGCTTTCTGGTTCCTGCTCGTAGCTCTAGTAGGTAATTCAAAGAGAGAGAGAGAGAGAGAGAGAGAGAGAGATGGTTAAAACGGGTGAGGAAAAGGCGGGGTTCTATATTGAAGTCACATTCGTTTTAATAGGTGTAACCAGAGTGGATCTATTTCTCGGAGGTTGTGTGTCATTGGTTGTGATGTTTGTGTTCTTCCATGCATGGTGTTGTAGATGGCCCAGCAGCAGGTGGAGCCTCTGGTGCTGACCAAGCTGGATGGACAAGAAATAGTAGGAAGAAGGGAGGCGGATGTCAGGGGCCAAATGCGAGCGGCAGCAGCAACCTGCAGACATTCCCGTTCAATGCGGTAAAGATTAATTGGGTGCCTTCCCCTCATTCGGATTTTTTTTTTTCCTTTTCTGATTCGAGTTCCCTTCGACCCTCCTGAACGTCACCACCTCTCTGAACCTTGCATCAAATTTTCGCTGCGTGTCCTCTGAACGTCGTCCTTGAAACCACCACTACGTTTCCCAGGCAACTTCCAGAAACCAAGCTTGTTTTGTACTTGAGAAGACGCAATTTGCATCTGATCTAGTGCCAGAGTGGAACCGAAGGTGCAGCGGCAAAAAAGCAGAGGCTGCTTTATCTTATTTGACATTTTATTGCTTTCTAAGTCCTAAAAAAAAAAAAAAAAAAAAAAAAAAAAAAAAAGTTCTGACGGGTCCCCTCCTGGAGCGCTCAAGTTGTCTTGCACACATTGTGATCTTCATCCAGTCTTGCATTATCAGGTAAATGAAAACTTTTAGCGTTTTGAGAGAAATAGTGTATCGGTTGGGCGAGAATCTCCGTTCTGTCAGATTCCAACCCTGACAACCTGTTTTTATTTATTGCCCTACCCCCTCCCTTTCCGTTTGTAAGATCTTTGTGATACCTCACCCACAAATTCCTTTTGTCCTATTTTGCTCCCCTCAACTCCGCCCTCACTGCCCTGTTTTGTTAGTATTTCAAGCAGGTCTTTTTGTTTTGTGATAGTCAAGTTCGTTAGATTTTTCCGCTGTGTGTGGATGATATCCTTCTGAAGATTCGTTTCTGTCCTCGTACTCGATTGGTGCAGGGAGGAGCAGCAGCGGATGCTGGGGATAATGACCTTGATGACAACGGCATCGTCGGTGGGGACTGTTTTACCGAGAATCCAAGTGTGATCAGCAACGAGAAGCAAACGGCTGTTGCTGATGAACTCTGGAAAGTGGACGCGGGGAATCGTCATCTTCCACCAATGATTGCAATGGTGTCGGAAAGTACCATGCGTATGCATCCACCTCCGCCGGTGGATGGCACAGAGAGAGGGCGAGGGGAAGTTTCTTCTTTGGGCTTGCTGGATTGTTGTGGCGAATCGACAGATCCACTTTCAGCAGCTGCAGCAGAGACCAATCAAGAAAGTAATCATCGCCAAGGGGACCATGGTGAACTCTGTACAGCTGATGCACTCGTCATGTCGGGCGAGCCTAGATTTGGGGTTGCTGCCCAAGAGATGGCAGCTTCAGGAATGATGACAACACAGTGTGGCCATGGAACTGATGAGGAAGTCGTGCTCTCCGGCAATGACAGTTTAACAGTGGTGGCACCGGCAAGCTCTTTCCGCCACAGCGGCGATGAATCTCCACCATCTAAGCAGCAGGGACAACCCCAGAGGAGGTCCTTGGTCAGCAGTTTGACTGCCGCACTGCGTGCTGATGCTGGAGAAACCGGATTCCAGAGAGGATCAGAAACGATATCCCGTCAATATGAACATCAGCAGTTGGCCGGAGCGATGAACAGTGACCATGACTCTCTTCTGCACCTGTCTGGTTCATTGTCTCCCCATTCAATAGCTGGCAGCTCTCCTAGGCATGGAAACAGCTACGGTGCGCACCCACGCCCTCATCACCGTGGGGGGAGAGGTGGAGGTAGGGGAGGGCATCCCCAGAATGTCCCACATGGTGAAGGAGGAGTTGGTGGTGGCGGTGCGGGTGGTCGAAGGGGACATGCAGGTAATGCAAATCATCTTCTCAACTTTCAATACGAGCCCTTTGATCGGCGACGGCAGTTCCCGGCTCGGCAAGTCCCACGGCGCCCTCGTCAACCTGTCGCTCCATACAACAAGGAGCTGTTTCTTCAGGCAAATTTTCGGTTTCTTGTCTCCGATCTTGCCGACTACTCGTTGAATGTTAATGATCCCGATCGCATGCTGGATTGGGAAGAAGTTGCAGCAGTGAATGTGTCCCCGGTTCAGCCACTTCAGTGCCCCATCTGCCTCGAGCAACCCCCTCTTGCTCCGCAAATCACAATGTGTGGGCATATCTTCTGCTTCCCGTGTATTCTGCGATATCTGACAATGGGAGTAGAGGATTATAAAGGTGACCCCTGGAAGAAATGTCCGCTATGTTTCACGATGGTGTCTGTAAAAGAATTGCGGACGGTAGTGGTTCAAGATGTTCAGCCTGTTAAAGTTGGTGAGAGCATCCGTTTCACTCTTCTCACTCGGTTCAAGGGGTCGATCATCCCTCTGGAACCAGTGGATCTGGAGAACTTACAGGCGAATCGTGTTGGAAGGAAAGCAGGAGCTCCAGCAGCTCCTCCCCCTCTTGGTGGCGCTCTTCTCGCATCTATGTCTCACGGAGGAGGGGATAATGGCAGTAATCGAGCTCTTGCTTACTCTATGGATGGTGGCCAGTGCTCTGTCTTCTCGAAATTTACTTTGACATCGTCAGGTCAGGCAGTTGCGAACAGTGCTGTGAATGAGCTTACATCCTGGGTGGAGAGGGTACAGAAGACTGGTGGGGAGGAGCTGTTAATGCTCCCTTACGTGCTTTCGTCGGTCGATCATCTAAATCTCCGCCTGCAGACCTGGTCTTCTCACCGAACATCGGAGTTTCTGTCCTGCAGCCCTCCGATCCAGAAGCGTATTCTTGCCCAGGCGAAGACTGGCTTTGTAACAACCGGCAGTAGGGGGGCGCAGCCAGCGAGCACGCATCCGGCAAGTACAGAGACCATGGAACCTTCCAATGGCTCTACCCAGCTTAATGGTGGAGCAGTTGAATCCCTTTCACAAAAGGTGGGCGACCTCAGCCTTGCTAAAAGCAACAACGTAATAGAGAAGCGTGGTTGCCCTGCACCTGAGGGTAAGGCGAAGGGAGTGGAAATATCGAAAGATAAGGGAAAGGATGCTGGCGAAAACAACGCTCGAGTAATGGCTGAACTCAAAGCAAAAGAGGGATGCACAAATCATGTTGGTTTCTCCGATGGCGATGATGATGGCGATGACTCATCTGCAGGACCCCAGAGAAGAGGTGTAAGTGGGAAAATGCGGTCTGTGCGGCCGAATGCTGTCTCTTTGCAGTCAGGTAACCGAGGGGCAGAAGCGAGAGAGGGGGAATGGGAAACTGATAATGGGCAAACCCCACCATCCTCGTCGACTTCGGAAGGAGGTGAAGAGGGCGTATCTCACAAGGAGCCTGCCACTACTGTAAGGAGGGACTCTGAAGAGAAGGATGTTTTTCTCTTTTATCAGGTATATGGAATTTGTAAAGCACTCGTGATTTGCCGGATTCAGGACAACAGAAAGTACCTGGACAGTGAAAGCAATTGTAATGTTTTTGTCACGTGATTTTTGGTGTTGGGCCATTAGTACCTTTCCCAATCAAAAAACTTTTGCAAGGAATTTGTCCTCATTATGTTTTCGGATGAATAGTGCTACGGGACCAAAATGGCTGGTGGTGCCAGCTAAAACGAAAATGAAAATGCACGTGCGGTGGGTTGTTTCGCTTTGGCGCGCAGTCGAAATCCACCATGGAAAAAAGAGCCTCAGAGATACTGGTGGTTTAAAGCAACACTACCTTACCCAGGCAACTTGAGAAATCGAAAGTGTAACCTTCCAGGTTCTTCGGAGACTCAGGGGTACCAGGTCTTACGGCTGGCGGTGCCGAAAGAAGTTTACAACCGTCACATTGCCACTTCGGTGAAGCTTGGCATGCAGTGGGAATCTGCCTCCGCAAAAAAAGGGAATACCAATACGATTCAGGAACGCCTTAAAAAGCTTTTGATTTTTGTCGTGTGCCGGCACGAAGTCTTTCGTCAGAGTTTCCATAGTAGATGAAAATGGACTCTCCAGATAGATGTAGGGCCCCGCTCCACTACTCTCAACATGCACAAACGACACAAACCATGGCGGTGAATCTTTCCATCTTCTAGTGAAAGTTTCACTCTCGTTTTGCACATTTCGAGAGTAGTGGAGCGAGGCTCGTAGGGTGTATAGTGTGTACTTGTGTCTCGAACTGGGCTCTTGGTCGTTGAATGGTGATGGTCAATCCCTTGTCTTTTCTTAGGCCTGGGGGTTTGGAGCTGATTTGTCAATGTTGCTGCCAATTTACGCCGGCTTCGTCATTTTGGTGACCACTGAACATTTTCTAGTACTTGTGAACAAAGGGCAGAATGCTAGCTTAGAGTCGAAAAGGACATCTATATTCGCAATGTCCTCCGTATGGATCGGTAAGGGTCCCTTGGCAACTGGAGTCATTGCGTGTCAGAACACAGAGTACGAGGAAGGAGAGAGATGGGGCTTGAAACTGCGCAGCCTGCTAGGGCACCCATCACCTTCGTGCTGACAAAATGTGCATCGTTGTGGCTGTATGCAAGCTGCCTCGTTCAGTTCCATACACCGTCATGATAATGGTGTGTTGTCTGGGGGAAGATGGTAGTCGTCTTGAAGACCAGTGGCGCTTTCCCAGAGCAAGGTAAATGCATGCTGGGTATTGTAAAGACCAATATGTGGGAAGTCCAATTATGACGAACATGAACCGAACTGCATGCATGACTTGACCCAGCTGAAAGCCCGCCTTCTTGCCACGCATTAATGAAGAGAACGATGGAGTAGTTGTTCCCAAGGCAAGTATGCACACCCACATTACTGCTAGTCTACCCTATTGTCTACTAGCATTGGTCGTCTAGGTCCTCCGTATATACAGACATACAGTATGGTTATACTGTGCCCAGCCCCACTGGTACTGCATTCATGCTAAAGAAGCATGAAGCTGACCATTCTTACAGCTAGGTTCATGTTTTCCACAAACGGGCGTAGCACCACCGGTGGGACCCCTACGGGAGAAGATCTCTGTGCACGAATTCCCAAAAACATGCTAAGCCTTCACCGCTTGATACTATGTCCATAGATTCTCGTCCAAAGTCAAAGCATTATGTGCTGTCTGAGCGAGGAGGACAAACAATAGCTACTCAGCTGCTACTGTCATTGTCTCACTTATAGCTTTCAGCAGCTGGCAAGCACCTAGAGACCCGACAAACAAATGTGCAGTCATTGCCGCCCTGTCAATCTGCGAACATGCAGGCAAGAGGATTCTATCATTGGCATTTGTTTGGTTCGGGACTGTCTTTTTATTCTGCATGCTTGGTTGATGAACCATTTTCAAGGTGATTTTGTCATTCATCAACCGAGCTATGTGGACGCGACTAGAAGTCTTGAAGGGGAATTGTTTGCACTGAATTTTGTAGAAGATATTACAGTGACAGGGCAACGTTCTTATCTCCTATGCTCCCAGAATGACCATGCAAGACCCCCAATAAGACCCCCCTGATACAATACGGTATTTGTTTTCTAAAAGACGAAGAATGGGTCATGTTTTCTTGGCCCCAAACAGAAACACAAAACACGAAGATGGTTGATGGTGGTTTTCACGTACTCTTCCCAAGTACGTAGATGAAACGGAAGAAAAGACGATGATGAAAATTTTTTACGGAAATGAATGGCGTAATGGTTGGTATAAAGAAGAATATATTATTATGCCCTAATGACTCAAGTAATGAGGCATCTCGGAGCACATTTCACGAGGAAGCCCTTTTCTATGTCGCACTCCTGCACATACGGGAGCCTCCAATGCATATTTGACTCCTATTTACATATGGACATCTTGTTTTGTTGCTGAAGGCCCTTGTGACTGACAGTGTGGCAACATTTCGTTATGATGGCTGTCCTGTTTTGTTGTATTTTTACTCGTGTCAGGCGGCAGATGGACAGTCTATTTTTCTGCATCCGCTGAGCATGAAGTGTCTGCTTCACCATTACGGATCTCCCGAGGCCCTTCCTCAAAGGTGATCCTCCCGATGAGTCAACCGGCTCAACTCGTATCTGGGTTCTTGGGTGGTGCAAACTGACTCAACTGACTCAACTGCAGGACAGGGTCTGATTAAGTCGTGTGACGGTGACGATGGATGGCATGGAGAGTGTGTATGTCGTCATTTTGATTGATGCGTTACTGTGCACAAATCTACCTTCTTCCCCCGAATACAACGTACTGGCATTATAGCTGTATTTGAGGCATCTTTCAGTCTAGATACAGTTATAATAACTGTATGACGTACGTTGTATTAGGGGGAAGAAGGTAGCCTGTTTTGGACCCGTGACAGCACCACCATGAATGCATCTAAATGCTTTCAAGCATGATGGCATCATTTGATCACTTCGTTCTTTTTGTTGGGAGTGTATGGGTCAAGTATTAGTAAATTTGAAAGTGGAATTCTAGAGTTACTGAATGGTACACATGATAAGAAACAGATCATGAGTAGGAATCCTGATGTATGTCATCAGGTGAACGCAGTACTGTTAGGTGTACTATACTTCTCGCTTCGCTCGTTGGTCTGTTGAGTACTCTCGAGCCCAAATTTCCAATCTTACACAGAGTTACTGATACAGAGGTATGCACACACTCTCTGAATATACTAACAAGTGTTTTTTTCTGCCACAATTCAAAGCAGCAGGCAATCACTGCTGCCTTATGAGTGAAGGCACCGTTTGCAAAACTCGATGTCAAATACTTCACACCCTTGTTGAATAATCTGCTTGTTCATTGAAGATCATTGCAGGCTGTGGTAGACTGCCGGTTTGTTGTTGAGTACAGGTATGGTTAATGACATTCATACTCGTAGTATGGCCCATGGTGCTGCAAAGGGCCTTTCCACCTTCCACCTTCCACACCCTAACAGACATTGTGCCCATGGTGGTAGTTTACTGTAGTAATGTCTTAAATCTCTCGAAGTTATCGACCGTGTACATTCCCAATGAGAGAGAAAATCTGCCGGGTGCAGGTCGAACGCCTCTGAATGCATCAGTGCCCCAACTCGTGCAAATTTGCGATGCGTAGCAATGCAGTCTGTAGAAATGCCTGCCTCCTCACACCCGAGATGACACACGTAAATCAAGAAATGCCGGTCCCCCCCCCCCCCCCCCCCCC